GATGAAATCTGCAACAGGCTGAGGTTCCTTCAAAATGGTAAGTAAATAGGTAATTGTCTCTGTACTGAAAAAAGTTCCCTCCAAACCTTTAAGATTTAGCAAAGTTTACAAATTAATCAATCTATATAAACTCTTCTTTTTTATTTTGTTAGCTATTGGTCCAGTGCCAAGTCCTTTTGACTGTTACCTTGCCAATCGTGGTCTTAAAACTCTTCACTTGAGAATGTGTCAACATGAAATTAATGCTACAGCTGTTGCAAAATTTCTGGAAGGAAACCCCAGGGTAGAGAAAGTTATGTATCCAGGTATGTTAGGGAGGGGAGAGTTGCGGTGGTATTTTCTATGAAGAGGTCAGCTGCAATGAAGTAACACACTGGCAGTTAGAAATTGTATGTTAGTTTGGTCACAAATTGCTAATAAGTTCTATAGTGAATGCAAATTTTTCAAAGGTAGGTTTGGAGAACTAATTGAAAGGCATATGGAAACATGTGTGAAGAGATAGCATATCTCTTAGTTAACCCTCTACACCCTAAAATCAATATGTAGATTCTCCATACTGTTTTCTGAACATTTCCTAAGGTGCTGATAAGGAGAATTTGTATAACAAACAAGAGCTTCTTTGGTTGATGATCATTTCCTGTATTCTTATGACCTTAATGTTTGATTCTGGGGATGATGTTGTAAGGAGAAATTAGATGCTTGTCTCTTTTGGAATTAAAGGGTTAAACAGACCTGCTCAAAAACTATTGATGAGGTAGATATATTTATATGGTACAGCATCATTGATGTAAAACTTTTTTTCAGGTCTGGAATCATACCCACAGCATGAACTTGCTAAAAAACAGATGACAGGCTTTGGTGGTATGGTGACTTTTTTCATTAAAGGGAATTTGGAGAATTCCAGAAAGTTTTTCAAATCATCTAAGGTGACTATTGATATTTATTTAATAGTTTTTACATAAAGTTAATGCTATTTAGGCTTAAGGTTGGAGTTCCTGTGGCATTCAGGAAATCCAAAAGGAAACCCATTTGTCTTACAAGTATGATTTTTTAATGTCTCATGTCACTAAATGCCACGAGTCTTTGTTTATCCTTTTCTTTCAGTTATTTACACTTGCCGAGAGTCTTGGTGGTTTTGAAAGCCTGACAGAACTACCGTAAGTTCTGCATGTACTTAAAACAACTAGCCAAGACTGTTAGAATGATTGGCTGAAAAGATATTGACTTGGGAATGGAAAGAAAAGTTCATTAAAATCAGGGATCTTTTGTTGGTTTATTTTCAGGGCAATAATGACCCATGCATCAGTTCCTGCAGATCAAAGGGAAGTATTAGGAATATCAGATACACTGGTGAGTATGATATCACTCATGGTCAGCATGGACAGCAATAGTTCTTTTGTTTAAGAATCTGAGACTGCTGGCAGTCTCTTTTTCTCTTGTTTTGGACCAAGCTTTGGGTGACAAGAGAATTGAATTTGAAACAACAAGTCTGGTCCCAAGGAAAACACTGATAACATGTTTCATTTTATCAATAGTTTGAGACAGCTGGCAGTCTTGTTTACTCAATATCTTTAAAGACATAAAGTATGAAGTTGCTCTTACAGTATTCATGATAGAATCTGTTATAATTCCCTAGATTCGTTTATCAGTGGGACTTGAAGATACTCAAGATTTGATTGATGACTTGGACCAGGCCCTCAAACAAGCGGTAAATTGAATGGACTTGTGCAAAATAATGAGATAAATTTAAAATTAATTAAAGATTGGAGCTCAATACAGTGTTTATGACTGGAAAGAATTATTTGACATCTACCCCATGCACTGGAGCTTTTCAGTGCCAATGTAAACAAATAGTGGTATAAAAATTCCAAATTGTAAACATAACTCAAGACAATTAAAATCCCAACAAGCTATTTGCACAAACTAGCTGACTATCTTCGGTGTGCAACCACCACTTTTAACTTAGCAGCAATCGAAAAGAAATCCATGGAGTAACAATTTTATAGCCCTGAGCATGGAACTAAGCAGTTCCAAGCCCATTCTAAGAAATGATTGACTTGTACCTTCTCCTAACAACATTGATACAAAATGTAACAAACAGCTGATAAGAACAGACAAGCTTATTAGTCAGAAGGCATTATCTGAATCTAACACCAAATTCTCTTAAATGATTCACAAGGAAATATATAGTAGCCTGAAAAGGAAAATTGTGAATCAAATCTTGGAAGGCTTACCTAATAGTGAGAACAACCAGTCCTAGCAATATTATTTGAGGGTAACTAAAACTCAATTTTATGGGAAATTATTACTGCTACTAAATGTAATGTACCTTTGTCACTAATTTCTATGAATACATGTAATATGTAATATCTAATATGTGAAAATTCATTTGGCTTTTGTTTCACACACAAAAGTTGTTCACAATTGCAAGATGTGCTGGATGAGCCATGTGTTTGAGCGTGTAAATCCATGAACCTTTCCCCAAACCTATCACATCTATCAAATGAAGATAGTCCACTATTGCGAGACACTTGTAATGTCTCTTGTTCTCCATCTCAAACATTATCACATGTGTGTTTGACTCTGAACATCCCTAACATATCTTTTGAGGAAGAATGGAAAATAAAAGGAAAAAGAAAGATAAAACAAAAGGAGTAGGTATAACCATTGCACTAGGTACATAGAGCGCCAGGAGTAGCAATGTTTTGTATAGAATTACATTTGATGCACTTTCAATTCATGTACCTATTCTATTTGTGTTTTAAAATTTCTTGCCCTGTCCTTGGCCTGTCAATTAACCAGTGTACAACTCTGTTCCTTTTTTCACAATTTCGGCATCAACATGAGCTGTTCATTTTTACACCACTTTGCAGTTTTGCTGCAAATTATACACTACAACTATACAGCTGTAGGTACATTCAGTCACAGACTGTGTTTTATTTAAGTAATGCTCTCCAGTTGTGCACAAATTATATTCAACTTTACTAAAAATCTAAGTTTGTTATT